CTCCAATGTCAGCAGTCTGCACAGTCTTCTGCAGATGATCCACCGCAATCGCTGTCATCATCGTCTTGCCTGCTCCAGGAATGCCGTGACAGAATAGCGTCTGACTTGTACCACTAACCCAATCAGTGAACTCAGGGGACTCAAGGAACCAGAAGCCTGTTTCTTCTTGCCTGCGCGCAATGAAGTCGGATTGCTGAGCGGAAAAGTCGGCCGAGGATAGCCAGTCCATGATAAGGTGGTGCCTTTGACGGTCTTGGTCTTGCTGCATGGCATCGACGCCTATCTTGATAGCCTTGTTGTCGTTTTGCATGGAAGTCATACGGCTCTCGATCGCTTGGGACAAATTGCTGCAGGTGTGAGTGACGCTGCCTCTGTGTCTAGAAGGATACAAACAAGTGATCCATTTGCAGCGCAATCTGCACGAGCGACTTTAGTCGCTCTATCCTCAACAGGATGCTTTCAGCATCCTCTTTGATGTACTTCCACAGGAGAGTCTTCGCTATCTTCTTTAGTCCGTGTCCACCTAATATCTTGTCCTTCAGCTGCTCCAACGCAACTCGGTACTGGTAGACAAGGCCATCCTTTCCGCCCAGCTCTCGGACCTTTGTGTGCCATGGTTCGTTGGAGCTCTCGTCGATGTGGGACAACAGAGTGAGAAGGAGGCTCGAGAGATTCGATGTTTCAGTCGTGAACTGGCTGCGCTCTGTTGAAGCGTCCTTAGCATCGTGCAGGCGCTCACCGACCTTCACCGTCAATTGAAATATGGCAATAATGCTGGCCGTGACGCTGAGCGGGTCCATGGCATGGCCAGTTGCTGCGACAAAAGTAGCTGGGAACCGCTCTTCAGGATGCTGCAATCGAAAAGGCTCATGGGAGGAGACGTAGCGCATCGTCTTCTTTAAGCAGTGGGCAGTGGGCAGCTGAAGGGTGCTGTCGGGCTGCATGCACCTCGCCCCATTTCTGGCAAGGCATCAGCGCAGCCACGGCCAATGATGTTACATCCCACTCCACCGATTCAGCTTCGTTCGACGCAGCGCATCTGCCCGACCCGCTTCCAATCCTGCAAGCTCTAGAAGCCTCCGACACACCGAGCATGGATGACACGAGCGTAGGCATTACGGAGCGGGACAGCCCGCTGGGCCTTGCTGATTGGGCAGCATGTGGTACGGGGGATGAAGACGAACAAGACCAGGGTGCAGCTGGTGCGCCGAGGACAAGGCTGCCTCCAGCTAAGCTTGAGCTGTTGGAGTGGTCCGAATGGGATCAAACCAAGGCATACGATGAGCGTCCGCTGACCTGTCTGCATTACTCGATCGTGTAGAAGGTCACGCTGAACAATAAGCTCATCTGTAAGGACACCGAGCAGGATCTTGTGCTAGCTCCGCAGTATCATTAGTCGTTCATATTGCGCTCTAAACTTCAGAGGCTTGTGCAGAAGAAGCTGTCGAAGCGTAGGAAGGTAACATGTGACGACATTAATGTGATCGTCAAAAACACAGGTCAGTCAGAACGGCCGCTAGTCAGGCGGTTTGACGAGACAGTCATCGATTGGTCTATCGTAGAACGACAGCTTGTGGAGTAGGGCGAGCTGTTTCGCGCTGGTAGGAAGCTGATGGTCGAGATGACGTTTAACTAAGTTACTTTGAGGAAGATCATCACGCGCTTGCATCTCCAGCAAAGAGGACGGGCAGGCAGGGGTCTGGGTCTGCGACTCGGCGGATGCTCGCTGAGCGAGCTTTAGAGATTGATGCTGAAGAAGAGGCTACAGGATATCCCCCTGCGTGGGTGAGTGTCTACGACACCCTGCGATGCCTAGGCCCACCCTGCCCCTATAGGCTATACTGCTGGCAAGATCCGAATGGCAAGAAGCACTACCCTCTTAAGACGCACCAACTGCAAGCCCCAGTTCTACATGTCTAATAAGGTAACGTGATAGAATGCCACGATGACGTTCCTGAAGACATACGGCAGCAGCTCTATGCAGCAGAGCGACAACACTTCGAGAGGCATCATAAAGCGGCTGACAAGCCTGACCCAAAGCTCCCTTCAATCGTCATCAAGAACGTGCTTCTAGGTTCAAACAATAACACTTCGACGCAAGCAGCCTTGACTCCCTCAACACATCGCTTGATTATTCCCGGCTTCTGCGATACTGTTGTAGAGGAATACAGTGAGTAGCAGATATCTCGGGTCAGGCGAGAGACTCTCCGGAAGGGAGTTGAGTGCATTCGCGACATCGCTTTAGAGGAAGGGTTTGACCTGGTGCAGATCCACGAGGACTAAGATCCAGATTATTTTCATTAAAGCAGGCGTCCTGTCAGGTGTTGCGAAGCGCTTTGTACGGGAGATACCGCACTGGGTGGAGCAGTGTAAAGGCAATGGTCGGAGCGATGTAGTATTGGACTTCTGGATCACTTTGAGGATTGGGGATGAATTATTAAGAAT